GAATCAACCAATAACAAATGCTGGCGGGGCTGTGGGGAGAAAGGAACCCTGCTCCACTGCTGGTGGGAGTGTAGACTGGTGCAACCACTGTGGGAGTCAGTATGGAGATACCTCAAAGAACTAGGACTGGAAGTCCCATTTGACCCAGCTCTTCCCCTGCTCGGTATATTCCCCAAAGAATTAAAAGAATCATACCACAGTGATATATGTGCACCCACATTTATAGCGGCACAGTTTGTAATAGCTAAAAACTTGAAAACAGCCCAAGTGCCCATGAACTGGAGACCGGATAAAGACAACGTGTTTTTTTTATAAAATGGAGTACTACTCAGTCATAATGAATGAGAAACTAGAGTCATTTATAGCTGAACAGATGCACATTGAGGCCATACTCTTAAGTGAAATAAATAGGACACACATATGTAAATACCAACTAGTTTCTCTTGTGTGAGAAACTGAAAGTATAAATAAGAATCAAGGGCCGGGGATTTAGCTCAGTGGTTCTGCCACCTGCCTCTTGAGCACAAGGTCCTGAGTTCGATCCTCAGGACCAAAAAAAAAAAATGTAAGATAGCCATTAAATAACGATGCACACTTAGATCAATGGGCATGGAAAAATGTCCACCAAAAATCGTTTAGGAGAAAAAAGGTATGAAAGAAATTAGTATATCTCAAGGTGTATGCAGGTAAAGACCAAGATATACAATGAGTATCTGTCTATCCCCAAAGGGTGCAATCACATGACTTTATACCCTTACAATCCCTTGCACAACGTACTATATAACATAGTATAACATAGGGCTCGGGATGTAGCTCAGTGGTAGAATACTTGCCTACCACATGCAAGGTCCTAGGTTCAATCCTCAGACTGAAAAAAAGAAAATATGTAGCTTTTATAAATTTGGAAGAGAAAAAGTTTAAATGTAATAAATAAAAGAAGGTTGGGGCTGGGGATTTAGCTCAGTGGTTCCAGCGCCTGCCTCACAAGAGCAAGGACCCAAGTTCGATCCCTGGTACAAAAAAAAATGTCAGCCTATTCAAGACCCTTCCTGTCTCTCAGGAGCTATTCCTATTCCCCAATAAATTTTCCTACTCTTTAAATAAATAAAAAAATAAATAGGAAAGAGAGAGAGAAAGAAAGAAAGACAGAGACAGAACATAGTTCTGTTTTTGAGGTGCCCCTATGGTTGTTTTTCAACTTCTCTAACATACTTTTCTACATTTTCCAAACTACATCACAAAATTTAAAAAAAAAAAAAAAGCTTCTGTACCAAATGGTTAAAATGAAAATTACATCATATTAGGAAAAAGGTCATTTGGACCCTCTGGTTCTTTTGTGCTTACATGTGCCAAATTCTGTTATTCTCCAACCACAGTATTATTCTCAGTTTTAGAGTCAAAATTTATCAGGAAGCATTCCAATCAGAAAGAAAAGTGCAAACAAGTATGAAAAAGTATCAAGTGCTTGCAAGCTCTATTCAAATCAAAAAGGAGAGGGCTGGGGATTTAGCTCAGTGATTCCACCGCCTGCCTTGAAAGCACAAGGTCCGGAGTTCGATCCCCAGTACCAAAAAAATAATAATAATCAAATCAAAAAGGAGAGCCACGCATGCTGAAGAATGAGTTTTTTGGTTTTACTGTTGTTGTTTTTCTTTTTTCCAGTACCGGGGATTGAAGTTAGGACCTTGCGCTTGCAGGGCTGGCAAGGTGCCACTAAGGTAAATCCCCAGCCCTTTTTTACATAAGATTTTTTTACTTTTTATTTTTTCCCCATCGGACTCAGGACCTTGTGCTTGCCAGGCAGGTGCAGCGCCACAGAGCTACATCCCTGGTCCGATGCTGCAGAATGAGAAAAAGAAGTGTCAGAAGTACAACTCTTACCGTGAAGCTGTTGTTGACGTTTTTGGTGCTTGATTCGGCCACGCTGGCATCTGTTAGGTCCACCTCATCAAATATGATGGACTGGAGAGAGAATCATGGGGCTCAGGCACACAAGACAGGCATCCCAAGCGCCGGGCGTGCCCACCTCCTCCACCCTGGCAAGTTCAGATTCCCTGAGACCGTGGCCTCCGATCAGTAAACCAATGGCAAATCGATGCACCCACCCACCTGCGGCTCACAGGGATACTGTGTGATTTCTTTAACTACAGGAGTTCATTAGTGATGGCATTGGTGGAAAGAAATACAAAAATTTAAAACCCAATGCTGACTCTTCTGCTTTTATTTTTTGTATCAAACATTATTTTAAAACCAATATTTCACATGTAAATACAACTTTGTCCTCAGGCAGTCCACCTGAAAGAAAGCCCCAGACAGCCAAGGACCCTCCATCCTTCCTGCAGCTTTAGTTTCCCAAGTCAGTACATTTAGAGGTTAAAATAAATTATCCAAAGAATAAGAGACAGGCCCTCAACAGCAGGGCAGAAAACCTTGGAGCCCAGCAGAAGAAATTTCGTCCTGAAGAGTGACAGCCAGGGTCCATCCAAGGCTTGGGGACTAGTCATGGGGAGCCCCACTCTCTTCTCCTCTTTCTCCCAAGTGCCCACCTCTCTGTTCTTACCATTCTCTCTGTTCTAAGATGACTCTATACGAAACTCCTGAAGGAAAAACTAGTAACTAAAAGAAGAAATTCATCCTTTTTCTCTGAGGTTCAACCTTTTAAGTAACCTATGGCCAGACCCCTTTCTAAACAAGGTGCTTTTTTCCCTTTCAATTTTAGCCAAACTCTCTAGGGATGTGTCTCAAAAATGTAAATGATTCCTAGTCCTTGTATTTTCAATACCAAAATATCAGTACTGCCGCCAAAACTGATAGAAAACTACAGATGCTTGGAATCCCGGCCAGCACACTTTTGACATGCCTGGCACCATGCTCATGGAAGCAGCAGCAGCAATGCCCCCCCCTCCCGCTGCACCCGGCACTGAGAAAGTAGACTGTGTGCTGGAAAGCCTTGAAACAACAAACTCCACCTTTCTGCTTACACACTGAGGCCCCATTTACTTCAAAACAAACTTTTAAGCTTGTAATAAGAGATCCGCAAGCCTTGGACCCCCACCTCTCTGAAAGGAAGATATTCAACTGTGGTTAACTCTGTGACCCTGTTCTGCTTTCCTCACTGGTAACAAATGACAACAGAAAAATTTAAAAAATATAAACTTTATAAGAGTAAAATAGGCCTTGAGACATATAAGACCTGACACCCTGAGTATTACAAAACTACCTGGAAGTAATGTCTGTGACTCGGAGCTCCCTTCACTCTGCCTGCCCTCAGAGACTCAGTCCCCACACCACAGGCCCTGGGATGTCCCTCTCGGGCCTCACCTTTGCAGTTTTGGCGTAGTATAGCGTTCGCCCTCGAAGCTTAAAGTATCTCCTTTTTGATCGCTGGAATGAATTGTTCTGTTTGGTCAGCATCCCCTCTTTGATGATGGTCTGAAAGTATAGAAAGATATCGATGAACATGCGTGCTGAAGGCACCCTTTGCCTACTGGCTGAAACTCGCCCTGCTGGGCCCAGGCACACTTGTGTCTCCAAGGGCCGAGCAGCCTACCAGGGCAATGGTTCTCACATGCACCCAGACCTTGACCCATGCACAGGCCGAGGGTGCTACTGGGGATGGCAGAGGCGGGACACCAACTCTGCAGGGTAACAGCACACCTGTGCTGGGCAGAGTGGCAGAGCCTCTAGGTGAGCCTTGGATATGCCAGCAGACTAGTGGAGGGGAAACTGAGACTCGCAGGACTGTAGTAAGTGGCAGCTGGGAGGACAACGGAGACAAGAAGCCAGCACATTCTTCAGCTTTAGCATTTGGTATTTTTCAGCTATTCTTGGCCCTGTCTCCGTGTTCTCTGGCCTCCTGCCATTTCTCAGGATCCTGTTGCCAAATCTTCTACGTCCGTTGCTCTAGGGTTCAGCGTAGCTCCAGGCCTGCGCTTTACTCCATCGTCTCCATGGTTCACAGGCCAGCACTGACATTTATGCCCGATAAGAGAGAAGTGCCATGGTCCCACTGACACACATCCCATCCTCTGGCACTGATGAGCCCACCACACAGGGGACCGTCCTCACCTCTCCAGGGAATCCAGAACTCACCCTGGCTCAATCACAAGAAGAACACAGGGACACAGCTTCTCTGGAGCTGCCCTCCCCTCATGCATCCCCCCCTGTGTGTCCTAGGGGACACTGACCCTGCACACCACTTGCAAGTCAAACGCCCAAGGAACTACTCCATCATGAGATACCCTGAAGCCATTAACACAGCGAAACCAACAAACAAGGGACAGGGACATGGCTCAGTGGATGGCACCTGCCTAGCATGTATGAGGTGCTAGGTCCCATCGCAGCACCACAGGAGGAAAACATAATACTAATAAAATACACAGGAAAACCACAACCTGGCTCTCAGGTTCCTATCCCTTCCTATACTCAGGTTCCTATACTCAGGTTCCTGACAACTTCCTATACCCCACCTAGCAACAGAGTCTATTGCACAAAGGATCTCGGCATAAAACAGGGAGAATTTATAAAAATCCTGTCCAGGGACAAGCACACTGGTTCCGAGAAGTAGCTGTTCAACTGCCTAGTCCTACAATAGCCCTGCACTTTAAGTCACTTTTAAAAACAATATATGTGCAAAGTACTTAAATTTCAGGGTCCACTTAAAACTTCCTGAGATAAAATTCGTGTGAACCAGACACAGAGGTCCACGTACCCAAAGGCGCAGCACACTGGCTCCTGCAGACCCCGCCAGCCTGCTCACCACAGGGCTGGGGGCAAGCAAGCAGGCGAGGAGGCAGCAGCGAGCCCAGACGCAAGAGCAAACACACGGGGCCCAGGCAGCACCCACGGCCCAGCACACAGGCCCTGGGGTCTCCTGTCCCACACCGAAGGACAGGCTCCCTGGGCAGAGTGGACACATGTGCCAGCACCCCCCCACACCAGGCTCCTGTCACCATAGGTCCCTAGGACGAGGTCTGTGCTCTGCACCTGCCAGCCAGCTGCCCTTCCCGATGCAAGAGAAGACATGCAGAGTTCGCCTGCCCTCTCCCAGATAATGAGAGTGCCAGGAAGAAAAGAAGCAGAGCCCAGCATCACCCAGGGGAGAGGCACACACAGCAGGCTGTGGCCACTGCAGGCCGGTCCTGTTCAGAAAGAGCAAGGCATCCTTCCATCTACACACAGCCACGGCAGCCCTCATGCCTGGGCACAGCCTGAGCCCCGCCCTCTGGGGGACCTCTGTGTGGGCACCTCATTGCCCACTCACCTTCCTTACCTCTGCAGGGGAAGAAATCGCTTCCATCTCTTTCCTAAATGCAAATTTTGAAAAAGAAAAGACAACAAAACCAACAAGTCAAACACACAGAAGTTGGAAGTTATCTTTAAAGGACGGTTGCTAGAGTATTTTTTTCTTGCATCTAATATGTGAAAGAAAAAGCAAAATTAAAACACATTCCACTCTAATGTGCACACATACACACACACGCACACACACACACACACACACGCATGCACACACCACAATCTTTCAGAAAGCGGATGAGAGCCTGCAATCTTGGGCTGCCCAAGGAGACCTGCTATTCTATTTATAGAACAAGCGTGCTCAGAAAAGACTCTGGTGGGTTTTAGCGGAAAAGGCTGGGGAAAAGATAAAGACCATTTCTTTGAAGCTTTCTCAGAAACTGCATTTCTTCTGATTTGCTGCTCCCAAATACTATAGATAGGCAGCAGAATATTTTTAAACCTGATGAACTAAAAGTGGTCAAGAAAATCACACCCTGAAACCATCTGCTGTGTCGGCACTGGGCAGCCTGTAAGAGACACCGCAGGACATGCTGCTGGGCTGGCAACCTCTCCCATCATGGACCAGGCACAAGCCAGGTCCAGAGCCTGCAAGCTCACTCGGTTCTGTGCACAAACCGAAGGGTGACTCTGCTGTTCAAGCCACCTACATATCCACCCGATGGTCAGAGACAAACCCGCAACACACATGGGCACTAAGAAGATGCTCAGCCAGCAGTCAGATGGACCCAGTAAGTGGGAAAGCCTGGCTCTGCCCTCCTCCAACAGAAGGCAAGGGAGGAATTCCAAGGCAGGGCCTAAGGCAGAAGAGAACCTGAGCCCAAGATGTCCCTAGGACCACAGCCACCACTGACCAGACACACAGCTCACGGCCCAAGTTGGCAAGGCACCTCTGTGCAAGGTGTAGAGACCTGCAGCAGTCTCCGCTCCCCAAGACAGCTCTGGAAACCACCCCAAGAGGCTTCAACCAGCAGACAAAGCCCTTGTCAAACACAATCCGCCAGGTGTCCCGTGAAAGGAGTCAGTGGGGACCCCAGCACAGGGTGAGGATTCCCTCTCTTTCCTGCCGCCCCTCTTCAAACACAAGCCAGCATCTGACACAGGAGCTTGCACCACAGGAGGACAGATGGGCACACACAGTGGCACTTGGGGATGCAGTGCTGCCTCTCCACGGAAAGGCCAAAAATATCAGGTCTCAGCAGACACAAGTCATCTGAGCAGCAGGAACTCAGGGACTGTGGTGGCCATGGCTCCCAAGGCCCCTGTTGCTCCTCGGGGTAAAGAAAGAAGCCAGCAGCACAGGGCAGGAAGGAAGAATGGCCTCGGATCACTGCCCAGCCATCGTGTGGGTCGCAGGGCTCCCAATCACCCTGGTGCCCCAGATGCCTACTTTAGAAAGAGGAGACAGGACAAAGATCCCAGACAACTCCAACATGTCCAGCTCAGACTGAGAGGACATGCCGAGTCAGTAGCCAGAGGACAGCCCAGGGAGACCAGCGTGCAGCTGGCACCACTCTGAGGGCCTGAGGGGCAGGACATTCCCCAAAGGAGCTGCCTGGTCCCCTAAGGAGAAGGGGGCAGGCAGGGAAACCAGGACTGGGGACCCTGCCAGCTCTGGCTCAGGGGCACAGAGGAGGAGAGAAAGAAAGGACCATGACAAGAAAGTGGCAGACACCAGGAGAGGGAGCACACTGAGAAGATGGCACTGGGGAGGCCAGGCACAGCATTGAGGCGGCCAGTGAGGCCTTCAGGAGGCCACTGGGCATCCACCCCAGCAGACTGAGTGGTGGACAGAGGGCCAAGCCACAGAAATCACACAGGGCATGGCCCGAAGCAACAGGCAAAAGCAGAGGTGACAGGATTTCGGACTTACACGCTTCTTAACTTCCTGCAAACGTGGACTCACAGCACACATGGCACACATTGACCCAAACACCTTCAGGTGCACATCTGCAGGCTAAGTGTCTGCATGCATCCCAACTGCTCCTGATAGCAAATCCCAGAAGAGGAATTTGGGGAAACAAGCCTTGGCAGCCGGAAGCCTGATACGTGGCAGAGGTGGCCATGCAGACCCCAAGGAGGGACTGCTAGATGAAGAGTCTGAGGAGCACCAACTGTCTCCTTCCCTCGTGTGCCAGACACACACATGAGCTCTGGGCAGATTCTGGATGTCATTCAAAGGGCAACATTTTAAACTTTCAGCAGACAATATAGAAGCGTTTATTTCTTTTTTGGAGTTTTTTTTTTCCAGATAGATTACAAGTTTCCATTGAAACGAGGAAAGGTGCCTCATTCTTGTCCCCACTAATGTGAGGCAGCATGGAACCAGAAAAGAAGTCCCAAAAGAATAACACCCAGATCCCCACAAGCTGCCCGGAATTTCTGCCCTTCCCCTCCCTAAGTCACAGCCACACCCCCGCTAGGGGGCACTTCCCTTCCTCGGTGTGACTGCCGCTAACGGCCACACCCATGCCCAAACTAATCCCCTCCCTGCACTACTGCCAACACCTCAAGACCTCGATTCTCAGTGGGGTGCCCTTCATCACGGTCCCAACTTCTCAGTCCAGGTCAAAGAGACCTAGGCAGAAGTCCTGCTGGGGTGGGAGGAGGGCAAGCTGTTTAACCGGAATCAGACAACATGCGTGTATCTACTCCACCTTTCCTCCTCTTCTCTGCCTTGAATGTAGTCACGATGCCTAGTGCTACAGCAGCCATACTGAGGCCAGGAGGCAGCAAGCCTGGGTCCTGGTGCCATCAACAGGCAGCCCGCTGCATCCTGTCTGAAAGGGTCACTCTCTATCTGGTACTCAGTGCTGGTGTCCCCGGGTCAAAGGCTCCATGCTGGAAATGTCCTCACCTCAAACCACCGTGTTCACTGACCCTCTCTCGAACTGGTCCTATCCCACGCATGTCCTCCTGAGTCAGTGTTAATCCTGTTAATCCTGTCACAAAGCTAACAGAAGAATTGGGCTCCTTCAGCTCTTTCCTCCTCACTCCCAGGCCCAGCAGGCAAAGCAGTGTCATCCATTTTGCTTGTTAACTGCTGAGGATTCTGCCAGGCCCTGGTGAGCTCAGATCCCCACCTCAAGCTTCCGGAAGAGCTCCCCAAATGAGACCCAGACCCCTGCATGGGA